CGAGTAACTTGTTACATGTGTCATGGTTATCTAAGTCACAAATCACATTAAATATTCATTTATTATTTTCCAAAAGGTAACCATGTAACATAAAGGGACGCTCACAGTTCCTCAAACTAGTGTTATCTTGTTTCAACTTTCGGAGAGGAGTTTTATAATTTCCACTTCTTCTGCTCTTAGTGTCACAAATGCAAGTATTTTATCTGAATCATTATTGAACCTTCCGACTAGAACACCAAACCCCAATTTAAATGCCTCCGATCAAATCCATTAGAGCATATGATTACGAACCTCAAACTCTTGCCCATTTGTAAATTAGTTTCCAACATCTACCTCATTTATATTAACCTGTTTGGAATTCGTAGACACAATAGGTTTGGGCATAACATCGGGTTGCATCATATCTAATGCAAACAATAACAAAAAATAATCAACAAATAAAAACTATCTGAACTATTCTAAAACCGGATTAATGTGAGCAGCGAGGCATGAAATACATGAACTTTGTTTAGTTTGGAGACTAACCGCTTCAAGTCTTGTTAAATGTTTAGTTAGAAGTTAGATGGAAATTTCATTTCCTTGTATAAGGGGGTTCGTAGACATAACCTTCTAAAAGCTCTCAAGCACAATGGATACTCTCAAGAACAATTTTTGGGGACATGATTAGGTCTTGTTGGTCGTACATGTATAATTATCCAGTGTTATTTCTCTTTTCTAATCTCTTTTATTTTCCAATTATTTTCTTTACTTTGGATTTCCGCTGCATATTTAATCAACTGTTTACAAAATATTTTTAATTATAATTTCTTAAATGATTTTATTTTAAATCAACGTTTTTCATATCTCCACAATTCACTCATCCTCTAGTGTATGTGGTCATATGCCCAACAACATATTCTCAAGTGATTGTGTCATAAGGGTTCCATAACTCTCAACAAGCATCATACAATTTAGTGAAAAGGAAGTTGAAGGTAAGATGAAGAGGCATGAAAAGTTATGAAGAGGTGTGAGCATGCAAACAAGATGCCAGGACTAAAAATACAAAGAGGCCATTATTATCTTTCCATGATAAGGAGATGATCAACTTAGTACCATTATTCGTGAGAGATGTCATGAAAGATTATGACATATTTTGGGTGATAATGGACTAGGGAAATTATTATGAAATTATGTATATTGAGTTATTCCATGCACTCTATCTAATCCACAAGAACATGATGCCTTATAATGAATGTGAGCTCTAAGGCTTCACTGGTTCAATAACCAAGTTATGTGGCTATGTAGAATTGCTTGTGACATTTGAATAACAAAAATCAATAAGAGTCGTTAAGACTAAGTTTGTGGTAGTCAATAGCAAGTTCATGTACATGTGTATCATAACACCTTAAACTTTGAAAGAGTTTGGAGTGGTATCACCAACGATGCACTTGAAAATGAAAATATCACATGGGTAAAGACAAGGTGGCCACCATCGAGGACTAATTGGTATCGTGACACTTGTGTTTCCTTACTTCATTAAAGAACTACAATGAAGCAAAAAATTGAAAGGATAGAGAAGAACTAAAAGGCGCCAAAAAGGGAGACATGGACCCTAGGTCCCTCAAATTTTGAGATGTGAACATGGATGATATTGACACATGATTGGAGTCAAAGATTGTCGAAGAGATATAATTGAAAGAATATAGCTCAATAAAGAATTCATGTAGGCTCCATTTACTCGAAGATGTCAAAATCAAGTCACCCAATGCCTCCAAAAGAACACAAATTCATTTAAGTGGATGACTACTGATATGCCATACATCGACTACGGGGTTGCTTTCCATTCCATGTGTGTCTAAATGAATTCCTCATATATGGCTCAACATTAAGGATAACAAACCATTGAGAATGTTGAGACCACTAAGAAGGTAGTAGATGACATTTTAAAGGCCAATTTTGTAAATTAAGCTAAGTATAACATTTGGTTATCAAATATTGTTCTTATAGTGAAATATAAAAGTAAATGATGAAGTTGCATTGAGTACTCTAATCTTAATCAGGTTTTTCCAAAGGATACCCATACCCTTAATATTGACAGATTAATATATAACTCGTTTGGAGTTAAACTTTTTTCATTCATGGGCGTCTATTTTTGTTATAATCAAATACCCAGGGATCCAAGGAATTATGTAAAAATGATCTTCATGACTGAAAATGGTAACTTTTGTTACAAAGTAATGCCTTTGAAGCTTAAAAACGCCGATACAATATCAACGTATGATGGACAAAATCTTCAAAGACCAAATTGAAGACATGTTTTAAGAATACATGGATAATATGATAGTTCAATTCGAGCAAGAGATAACTCATGTGGCCAACCTAAAAGTCATATTTTGAGAAGTCCAAAGACATTATATGAGGCTTAACTTTGAAAAATGTACATTAGGATTTTTTTGGGGTATTACACATAGGGACATTGATGTTAACCTTGTCGAATGTAAGATTGTGATAAATATGACCTTTAAATCCAAACTAAAAATACAACGATTGAACGAAATATTAACAGTCCTTTCGAAATTTATACATTGTTATATAAGAAAACAACTTTTAAATATGTGACCACCTTCCCTAAACTAAATCAAATATTGTCTTAACAACTTATATTAACCATACCACTGAAAACTAAAATCTTATTCGATTACTTATCTGTCTTTCCAAAAACATTATACTATTTGTTTGGGGATAATGTGTGCGAGATAGTATGAGTAGATTTATTACTATAGGTGTAGCTTAGGATATCGGTCTTATATCCATCATTGAAGTATGAGCTGTAACTTTGAAAAAAGCTATACAAAACTTCATCAATTTAAACTTGAAATCTGTTTGAAAGTGACTCTCAAATGTTGGTTAAAGTCATTCATTCTTCTCAAGTAGGTTGTTCCGAATTTAGTTGTATTATTTCATCTATTAAGCAATTGTTGTATTTTTTTTCAAACTTTAAGGTAAATTTTATTAAGCGTCAAGCAAATATGGTTGTCCACTCGTTAGTGATGTTGAGAAAAATCAAATGTAAGTATTGTGTTTTATCGTATCCACAGGGATTGGAGCGATATCAAAACCGCTCAACAATTTTTATTATTCTAAGCAGAAGTTTTCAAGATGTTTGATTTATAAGTTATGAAAAGTAAATACGTATAATAAATAAAGATAGTTTCAGAGGAATATGCTTGTTGGGAATTGGTGTTCATTCACCGATTTGATATGCACGTAATGAACCAGTTATACACAATTTAAGCATGTTTCAGTATCATCACGTATCGCTCACAAACAGAGTTTATATCTAAATTTTGATGAGATTTCTACCTTATGGTTTAATCGACGATTTCTCAGCCTATTAAACAGTACAGTGGCATTAAGATTTGATACCTTAGGTGAATATTAAACTTAAATCTATGTCTAGCATTTAGAGTTTAATAGATATTATGTTAGATCCAAAAGAGAATCATATTTGTCAATATCAATTCAATCCATGAAGTTAAACAATAAAACGAAGATAACATCGATAATGATTCATAAATAAATTATGTATAACGTCATGATTAATAAAAATACATATTGTTTCGGTGAACTATGACCAATCCCAACAAGAGAAAGATTTAACTACTCATGGTATCTTTATGCATAATGGAATAGTTTAGTTGAATCAATATCAACGATGATTTTCCGACTCTTGATGCGTATCCAACTCCTTCTCCTTACAACCTCTTATATTCCTACTCTCTATTACAATGTATTATGATATTACAATGATAAAAACTGAATATTTTCAACTGAGTTGAGTTCTGTCCCTTTTATAGCAGTTCTGGCTGCTTGAGTTCACTAAGCAAACTTTACTTCGCTAGGCGAAGTCTCTGTTTCTTCTCCACTAAGTTTTCAATTCAAACCGTCTCCAGAAAATCACCAAAGTTTGCTAAGCGAAGTTTTGGCTCGCTTAACAAAGTTGCTTTCTTCAGCCTTAAGTCTTTTCAAATATCTTCCAAAAACCCCAAAGTTTGCTAAGCGAACTCTCCTACGCTGCTGCTGGCGAAACTGAGTGATTTGCTTCTGTCTTCGTTTGCTGGAAGTTCGCTAAACGAAGTGAGTTCGCTGTAACTTTTGCTTAACGAAGTCTTTTTTCCTGATTTTTGTTTTAAGGCTTTTTATCATGCACAAAAGTAAACCAAATCCAAAATAAACTTGTACAAACCACTTTATTCAATAATTAGAGTTTTTATATAAGAAACTTATCATGTAAGTAAGATAAATGCTATGTTATAATGTGATACTTTATCATGAATCAAACACTTATCAGTTAGCAAAAGTGATCAATTCTTAATTTAAAAGTAATATTATGAGGTATTGAACTCCGGAGTTAACTTTATTTTTGTAAAAAAAAAAAAATTATTATAAATTAAGATAAATAAGATAAATGTGAAAGCCTTATAAATGACGAGACATAAATAAGTAGGTAATTAATTAAAAGAGAATTCGAAGTGAGACACACAAAAAAAAAACAAAAACAACAGTGATGGTAGTCGTTTAGCATCATTTAATGTGATATAAAAAAGGAAAAAGAGATGGATGTTCCCGTTATAGGAGTCAAAAGAGTCTTTTTATAAAAAAGCAACGGCTAGAATAGCGTTCTGCGTGTTTGAAAGAAGGTTAAATTGAGCAGATAAGAACGCCGAAAACACCGCACTTCGCTGGAAATCTAACTTCCCAATCCAATTTCCTTTTAACACCTCTCTCTTCCAACCTTTCCCTTTGATTCTTTCCCTTCGCCGGTAAGAATCCACGCTTCTTTCATTTCCTATCCAACACCGATGTAGTAAGTTTTTTCTTTTTTTTTTTTATCAAAATCTCCTCAAATTTCACATCTATCTTTTTCTTCCTCCTTCTATTCATTGCATCCAATAATTCTGCCTCTTTTACTTTTTCTGCAAATCAAAAAAATTATACTAGTTAGGTTTCAAATTTCAACAATGTCGGTTGCTGGTGTTGCTCTCAGACCGATTTTAAAAGAATCGGCGAATTCCCAATTTCACCGGCACGAACGAATTGCTCGTTGTTCTAGCGAATCTATTTTGATCTACCTTACCGTCGACGGTGCCGTTACGCCGATTCGTGTTCTGGAATCCGATTCTATTGCTTCTGTAAAAATGAGGATTCAAACACGGAACGGTGTTTCGGAGAAGAAGCAAATGCTGGTTTCGAATGGTAGAGAGTTGGCGCGGAACAATAAGCTTGTTAAGGAGTATGGTGTTACTGCTGGGAATGTTGTTCATATGGTTCTTCGGTTGTCTGACATGATTTTCATTGTTGTGAGGACGACTTGTGGGAAGGAATTTGAGTTAAAAGTTGATAGGCATAGAAATGTAGCGCATCTTAAGCATTGTATTAAGAAAAAGGGGAAAGGTTTTATTGATCTTGTTGAGGATGAACAAGAGTTTTTCTGCTGTGGCCAGAAGCTTGATGAGAAGAAAATTTTCGATGATATTTGTAAGAATGATGATGATGTTATTCATCTCATTGTTAAGAAATCCGCCAAAGTTGAGGCTACGGTTGCTCGTAATAAGGATTTGGAGCTTTCTGTTGTTGCGGAGGATTTGAATCTCAATGAGCAGAATCAGAATGAGATAGTTCAGGTTTTAGAAGAACAACGCGGTGGTGGTGTTGTTGATTTTTGGTTAGAGCCGTTTTTTGTTAATCCTAGGATCAATTTTTTGCCTTTCCTCTGGGATATGATAGATTCAACTTTTAATGGTTTGAAAAAAGGGAATAAGCCTGTTAGATCTTCTGAAGGAACTGGTGGGGCTTACTTTATGCAAGATTCAAGAGGTGTGGAATATGTTTCTGTTTTCAAACCCATTGATGAGGAACCAATGGCTGTTAATAATCCACGTGGATTGCCGGTCTCGTCGAACGGAGAGGGTTTAAAGAGAGGGACAAAGGTTGGAGAAGGAGCTCTGAGAGAAGTTGCAGCGTATGTACTGGATCATCCAAAGGCTGGCCCACGTTTGGTGTCGGGCGAAGCAGTTGGTTTTGCTGGTGTTCCGCCTACTGTTTTGGTTCAGTGTTTACATGAAGCCTTTAATTACCCTAACAATGGGGATTGTGGCTCTTTGATGATGGATAGGAAGGTGGGATCTTTGCAGAAGTTTATGAGTAATGATGGGAATTGTGAGGATATTGGACCTGGTGCTTTTTCTGTGGAAGAGGTGCATAAGATCAGTGTGCTTGATATAAGAATGGCTAACGCAGACAGGCATGCAGGGAATATATTGTTCAGAAAAGAGTCAAGTGGACAGACTATGCTCATTCCCATTGATCATGGCTACTGTCTTCCTGAGAAAGTAAGCCAACCATTTCACATTCTTGCTTCTTTTCCTATGCATTATCAATTATCATGCTTTGTATGTTCTGGTTGGTGTGTCTAAATAATTATGACATGTATTATCATGAAAGTATTATCTCAATTTGATACGAAACAAATCTCAACTTATATCATGCAAGTATTATCATGCAAGTATTATCTCAATTTGATACGAAACAAATCTCAACCTATATGAATCTATATTGTGGATCTATTTTTGATATGCATCTATTTTTGAGTTGCGATTTATTATGATGAACCCTATTCGTTCAAATGAAACATTACCTCAATTTAGTGTAGTCAGACACTTTTCTTTTGTCATTTGATTGAAGACTTGGTTATTGAAATCATATATGATACAAGAGTAGATTGGATGCAAGCAAACAGTGTGTGAATGAAATATCTATTCCTATTTTGGATTAACTAATTGCTTGTAAATCTCAATATGAATGTTGATGTATGTTGAATACATGTTTAAATAGGGAAGTGACAGAGCTTTTGAACCAATTGAGATGCAGATGTTAATTTTAACTTAAGAATATGTTGTTTAAAAATCAATAGATAGTGAAACTTACTAACCATGGTTGTTATGAATGGTTGATGTATGCTGATACATGTTTAATTTGAGAAGTAAGTGAGAGAGAGAGCTTTTGAACCAATAGAGATGCATATGTCAATTTTACTTATATGGTATGAGAATCTATTGTTTAAAAACCTATAGATATTGAAACTTAATAACCATGGTTGTTATGAATGGTTGATGTATGCTGATACATGTTTAATTTGAGAAGTAAGTGAGAGAGAGAGCTTTTGAACCAATAGAGATGCATATGTCAATTTTACTTATATGGTATGAGAATCTATTGTTTAAAAACCTATAGATATTGAAACTTAATAACCATGGTTGTTATGAATGGTTGATGTATGCTGATACATGTTTAATTTGAGAAGTAAGTGAGAGAGAGAGCTTTTGAACCAATAGAGATGCATATGTCAATTTTACTTATATGGTATGAGAATCTATTGTTTAAAAACCTATAGATATTGAAACTTAATAACCATGGTTGTTATAATGACAAGAGTAGATTGGATGCAAGCAAACAGCATATAAATGAAGTATATAGTCCTATTTTGGATTAACGAATGGCTTGTAAATCTCAGTAAGTATGTTTATGTGTGTTGATACATGTTTAATTAGGGAAGTGAGAGTTTTTCTAAACCAAATTGAGACGCAGATGTCAATTTCAACTTATATGGTATGAGAATCTATTATTTCAAAAACCAATAATTATTGAAAGATTTTTGTCATTCATTTTCTCACAAAGGTGGATCAACATACCATTTCTTTATTGTCAGGATTGGATTGCATTTGAATATTCATTTCCTATATTAAACGCCATTTTGCAAGAATATTACTTGCATATTTGATGATTAGTCTGTAGAAAGTTCCCAAAGCTGGATTAACACGTTAATTCTTTATTGTCAGGAGGATTGTATTTGGATATTTCATTGAATCCATTGATACATGAAAGTGATTCTTTTTATCGTTGAATGTATAGACTCAACATATCTTTATTCTCTCTGCAGTTTGAAGATTGCACATTTGATTGGCTTTACTGGCCTCAAGCGCGTCAGCCATACTCTCCTGATACAGTTGATTATATAAGCACTCTGGATGCTGAAAAAGACATCGAACTTCTGAAATATTATGGTTGGGATGTTCCAGTTGAGTGTGCAAGAACACTCCGCCTCTCCACAATGTTATTGAAGAAAGGGGTTGAGAGAGGTCTCACTCCCTATGCCATTGGAAATATCATGTGTAGGGAAAATTTGAACAAGAAATCAGTAATTGAGGAGATTGTTTTTGAAGCCCAGGAATCATTGCTCCCTGGCATGGATGAATCTGTTTTTCTAGAATTTGCATCACAGATCATGGATTCCCGCCTTGGTGAGCTTTCGAAATAGACTTTTTTCTATTTCTTTCTGATTCATAGGTATAATAATGCATTTTATGTATGTATTAAATGAAGATTACCAGTCCATATATATTTGAATGGACTTGAGGTTGTATAAGAAGGTGATGGCAAAAGAGATTTTGGACATATAGGTCGGATTAGATTGCCTATTAATCACCCAATCAACCCCGTAAGATTGTATTGCCATCCTGAACAGAAGTTATAAAAAGAGTATGAATAAGGAAGGTGTATTATTATTCTACTGAGATTTTGTGATGGTTGGAACAGACATCTATATATGTCTGGTGTACATAATAAAATGTTTTGGGTTATGTTATAATGCTTCTTGATATGGACATTTTACTCCTTTTTATTTTGGCACTGAGGGTAAAATGAAGAAAAAAATGATTCCTTGAGATTTACATGAAATGAAAGTATGTAATGTAATTTAAGTAAGATGCAATCTACTGATGCTCAACTTACATAAAGTCCTAAAATCCGAACCACTTGCATGTTCAACTTTCAGAATACAAGTAAAGATAAAAATCACTTATGTTGTTATTGCGGATTGTTCATCTGCATCCCTTTGTGGCATAACTAAATCCTAAATTTTGAGGCCTAAATAAATAATTAAAAAATTAAAGATATTAATAATCATTATTTAAAAAATAAATATAATAATTAGTTGTCTTAGTATATGTAAAAAAATTAAAAAGTAACCTTTAAAAACAAACAGAGGGAGTATTTTTATAGACTCTTGGGGTAGTACTAGTGCATACAGTATAGTGCAGAACACATAAAAGAAACACCAAAAGTAAAAGAAACCCTACACTACAAAACAAAAATTGACAGCCTTGGACTGAAAGCAACATAACAGACAAATAAGGTCCCACACACGTGCCCTTGCATTTTGACATACTCACTCACTCACACATGTTCTTATATAGATACATAGATAGATATACTACCTTTTTTTTACTAGTAGTTAGTTAAACTTAGATCCTCCCATCAAAATCACCACCATGACCAAACCTGAAAGACCACCGTCAAGCCGCACCAACCTTGCCTCATGCGTCGTCGCCACCATTTTCCTAATCTTCATTTTCATCATCATCTTCACTCTCTACTTCACACTTTTCAAACCCCAAGATCCTAAAATCTCCGTCACCGCCGTCCAACTCCCCTCCTTCTCTCTCACAAACAACTTCACAACCGTTAATTTAACCTTTTCCCAATACGCTTCCGTTAGAAACCCTAACAGAGGAACGTTCTCTCACTACGATAGCTCCTTTCAGCTTCTCTGCTATGGAAGACAAATCGGTTTCATGTTTGTCCCCGCCGGGAAGATCAATGCGAGGAGAACGGAATACATGGCCGCCACGTTCACTGTTCAGTCTCTTCCGGTGGGGTTGGAGGGGAATGGTACTGATGGAGTTAATAGAGGTGGGCTGACGATGGAGATTGAGTCGACGATAGAGATGGCAGGGAGAGTGAGAGTGTTGAATCTGTTCAGTCATCATGTGGAGGCGAAAGCTGAATGCAGAGTCGCCATCGCCGTCGCGGATGGAACCGTCATAGGTTTTCACTGCTAATTAGTTTTCTTATTATTGTTAGTATCTAATTAATCTTTCATTGTTGTAATTGTAACTGTAAACTAAATTAGTTAGTGAAAGTAGCTAAATTAGAAAGGAATGGATATCATAGTAATTCAGCTTTCAAGCTTTTCTATTACTGCTATGCCACAAACTCCATAACGTCATGACACACCTATAGAAAATTAGGCATCCTATGAGGGGACTTTGAGATGCCAAATGACATTCTAGTCTCACACAACCTTCAAATGATTTGTGTCGATGATAATAATATTCAATACTCCATAATTACCACTACATTCTTCTATCCTCCTCCACATAACGAAAAAACATAGAAGCTAAATTCGCATTTCTAACTTCTATTTCTATTTTTTACATTTATAAGATTACATGTCCGGATCCAAGTGGTTAAGTTTCGTATCATCTATAAAAATTGAATATTGAATTGGTAAGATACATGATTCATATAGTTGATATCTTAAGATTTTGAGTGGAGATGTTGCTTTTTCCTCTATTGTGGTCTAAGAGTATAGTTCTCTTTATTGCTTCCGACTCTCCCAAAAACTCCAACAAGTAATATAATCATGATTTCAGCTAGGAGAGCTAGATCATGTCGCATGATTTGGGGACTCGTGGGAGGAGATTGATGGCTTCAAGTGTAAGTGATTAAGTCTCACATCTTCTATAAATGGATAAAATGTTAGATTTATAAGAGAGACAATCCATATATTTGATTTCTAAAAAAAATTGATGGAAATTATGCATTTCTCTTGTGGTCAGACTGATACAAAATGCTTCCTTTTGCACCGCACAACTATAGGATATATGTCTACACTTCAACGGGGACAACCCCATTTCTCTTTGGTATATGGTATGGAAGTGATACTTCCTATCAAGGTAGAGTTCCCATCACCGAGAATCTTGATGGAGACTAAGTTAAAAGACACTGAATGGATCCAAACAAGGTTTGGCCAACTGAGCCTCATAGATGATAAACAAATGATCGTTCTATGCCATAGTCAGTTGTATAAGAAAAAGCTCAAAAAGGTATTCCACAAAAAGGTTCGCCCTCGAGAATTTAAGGAAGTTGGTGACCTACTGCTCAAGAAGATTGTAACACCCCACATCTCATTGTCTAGGATAATACGTGTATGGTATTAATATGGTAACTGAATTCATACATAAGCAGCTGAAATAAGGATAAAAGTATTAGTACAAGATACAAAATATCGAAACTGACATGGCCTGAATAATATAATTCAAAAAGTACTAATACATAATCCACGGTACAAAACAGAATGAACAAAAATAACAGAACATCGCCAAGAAACACCGTCGACAAGCTAAGCCATCTTACCCTTGCCACGATCCTGCCTCGAGCTACCTGAAAAATGATAAGTGGATTGAGGTGAGATTACTAAATCTTAGTGAACCTCCCCATCTTAGGGGTTCGCTCGGTTCTACAGGGTCATACATAAACGAATTCGTCGAGGATCTGTGGTTTATTTACAGGTTGGGTACGAACACACATACAGAGAAGATCATCATTGAAGGTCTTTTGACCAATCAATGGGATCACAAAAATAGCACACAAAACACACAAAACACACAACAGGATATACACATATGTGCCAGAAAGTTACAAGTGCTACCACTTCACAGTGAAGACACGAGTCCACCGACGAAGGACTAGTAAGAATACTTATATGGTACTACTAGGGGGATTAACGAAGTGATATAGCCAACGTGGCATCACGATCCCACCGAACCAACATTGTCAATGTTTTATTGCCTAAGGAGATGCTTCTAACAATGACATAATGAGTATACACCAGATAATTCCCATCGAGCACTAGCATTTCTCCCGATACACAATGAGTATACACCAGATCATTCTCATTATGATACCAACACATCATACACCGATCAATGTGTACACACACGATCATTCCCATTAAGAGCGACGATAATGCTCAGTCGTCCGTTCCCACCAATGAATATATATCAGATCATTTTCATAGGGGAAGAACAACATGATGCACAGATGGTACGACATGCACAATGAGTATACACCAGATCATTTCCATGTGCATGTCCAGAATTGCTCGGTACTATGATAAGTATAGACCAGATCATTCACATCAAGTACCAGCACAGAAGTCACGACAAAGCCATAGAGAATCAAACATGTTCAGAAATCGAACCAGAAAAACAGAATCATCATATAATGCATTTCCACAAAAATATGCATTTGTCATACGAAATATCCATGAACATAACATAGAAGCGTACATAGCTGCAACATAAGGTATTACCACAGAATAACATATAAGGCATCTTGTTCCCAAACTTGGAATGGATCTGCACTCGGGGAAAAGTTCATGGTTTTGTCAGGATAGGTTCGCTAAGCGAACTGCTAGCGAAACCCGATTCGCTAAGCAAAGTCCTAGCAAACAAAGTCAGAAGATTCATCCAATTCTGGAAGTCACAGTTTGCTAAGAGAACTCTCAACAAAGCCCTGATTCGCTAAGCAAACTTGCAGCGAGTAATTTATTTAATTTTTTTCATTCAGTCCCAGACCGTCGCTTTGTGAACTCAGTAGCGAAGATTACTTTTCTAAGCAAACCATATTTTGTTAAGTGAATGTTACTACACACAACTTCTTGATAAATCAGACAGTTTGCTAAGCAAACACAAAGTTTGCTAAGCGAACCTCACTGCCCAGAGAAAAATCAAAAATGACAACAATACGATTTTGAGTCCCAAACCCCAAAATCTTCACACGTAAATGGTATTTTGTGACATACATATTAGAGAGAGTATACATGTGCATAATATTACAACTTTCATGCTAAAACAAGCATAAATCACTCAAAAATCCCTTATTCCCATTTTCCCCAAAACATATTTTCCTCAAGTCTCTAAACTATGAGACTCACCTTGATTGAGGGAAGAAGAAGTTGTGGAACAAAAAGGGATGATTGAGAATCAGAAGGTTGGACTTGGGTCTTAAGCATGCGAGAGCATGAAGGCGAAGGTTTGGAGCTTTTCTCTTCTTTTCCTTTCGTTCCATGTTCCTTCTCTCTACCATAATGTTAGCTCCTAAATTTGACACCTACAACAAGTTGGCCTTATGGGCCAAAAATAAATTGAACAAGTCTAAGTTGGGAAGGCTTCGACAAAGTAGAAAAGTACTTAGAGAAATTCTAAGTTAAATTGAGTCTTCAACCAGAAGGTTCTCAATCCCTTCGACTGAAGAGACTCCAAGGTCTTCGACCAGAAGGGAACTTCGTATATGCCCCAGAAGATTTTGAATCTGAAGAAAGGAGAGAAAAGCAGTTCGCTTGGCAATTGGGGAAAGCAACGTGGCGTGAAAATAGGGGTCGAAGCACATGCAAAAGACACTTGTCTTCATCCT